AATTTGTTCCCAGTATTAGAGTAATTTTGTTTAATTCACATAATACCATTCCACTTGAGTTAAAACATGTATAACACGTTTGATTATTTATTAATATTGGTGTTAAGTCAATAATTTTTATGATTGTTTTAGCCATTGTAATTGCATATTAAGCTAATTATCATATCAATGTTGTAGGTAAACCTCGTGGTATTCGTACGGCTCGTAAACATGTTAACCATCGCCGTGTCCAAAAGTGGGCTGACAAGGACTACAAAAAGGCACATTTGGGAACAAGATGGAAGGCCAATCCTTTTGGAGGAGCTTCTCACGCTAAGGGAATTGTTTTAGAAAAAGTGTAAGTATATTAGATTTTTTTCAGATACTAAAGTTTGATTAAATCAGTTTATTTAAACAATTTTATCAATTATTATAGTGGAGTTGAAGCTAAACAGCCTAACTCTGCTATCCGTAAGTGTGTCCGTGTACAACTTATCAAGAATGGAAAAAAAATCACAGCTTTTGTACCTAGAGATGGTTGTTTAAATTATATTGAAGAAAATGACGAAGTTTTGGTAGCAGGATTTGGCCGAAAAGGTCATGCTGTGGGAGATATTCCCGGTAAGATATTGATTGCTCTTAATGCTTATTATTTTATGAACTATCGTCTATCATTTATTATTATTTTTGTTTGCAGGGGTTCGTTTCAAGGTTGTCAAAGTAGCAAATGTTTCATTACTCGCTTTATAYAAAGAAAAGAAAGAGAGGCCTAGGTCATAAAAACATAATAATGTGGATTTTTATTATTTTGAATAATTAAAAATATAATATTTGAAAAGTGAAATCATGTTTTAATTTAATCACTGATTTAGACCAGGGATCGGGATCTTCAACCTTTTTATGCTGCAGACCTATTATTTTCTTAATATTTTGCWGGCCGCATTCATAGTTAAAACATGTATTTTATACAAACATTCAGTTTTATCATTACAATTGTAATTACTAACTATTATTACTATTAAGAGAACGTAGTGTTATGAACGTAATGTTTTGTCTCCGTCTTTTAAGTGYGTAACAGTAAATTTTACGCTTAACCGATCACGTTCAGCTTAGTTAGTTTAGAATAAAGAGTGAATTGAACTTTTATAAAAATTAAAGGTAACATGATTATCTAGGACTTCTCATAGGCTTATTTAATTATTATATTTAAATTTTTTAGCGAATTATGAGTATTTTAAGTTATACAAAGAATTAAAATTAAACTT